GCCCCCCCCCCGCCGCCTCCCTCCGCCGGTCTGCATGGCAGCTAAAGCGCTTTCTAATAGCATCCTCTAGCCCAGCAGCCCACTGGAAGTGTCAAGAAACACTTGGTTGCAAAAGAAAATAATGGGCTTTCTTTAAATATAGCCGTTTGCTTCGAAACCAGCACCCCCACGGCAGGGAAACCGGCCTGGCCTCGCCACACCTGTCTGCAAGAGGGGCTCATGCCCCCGCTCCAGCCCAAAGCTCCCCAAGGGCTGAGCCGAGGTAGCACCTCTCCCGGCCCGCTCGGGCTTTGTCCTGAGAGCCTGCTACTGCTTTTGTTCAGCTCCCCGGTCCTTTCTAGCCAAAAAGAGGCCCTGCAAAGCTATCAGCCGTGCAGTGATATGAAACATCCCTTTCAATAGCGAAGATGGGCTTTACAGCGCAAGGTGTCCGATTGTGGCGCGCGATGACCTTAGCCCAAGCGCACCCCTTAATCCACCCCCACGGGTATTTCATAGGAGAGGAGTTACCCCAAGCTGCTCATTGAGATTCGGCACACACGGACTTGGGGGCAGTATTTAGAGGGTGTCAGGCAGGGTCGTGTGACTGTACCACGCGGGCTGCAAGGGAGCAGGCTTGAATTCCACCCGCTCAGCCTGATTTCAAACTGTCCAAACCTCGTTTCATGACAGAGCATCTTATGAGAAGATTAAACCCCATAATGCCAGGCAGGAAGATTCTTTATCTAGATCTCTGTTTGCAAAAAGTATGATCCCGGAGACTGGAATGCAAAGAAGAGTTCCCCCAAGGCCTGAATTATTGTCACCAGGACAGAGGAGGGAGAGGCAGGGGTGGTAAAAGGGACATTGATAATGCGCTACAGCAAGTATTTAGAGCAAGCTTCTACATTTAAAATTCAAATACAGATCTTGAGTGCCTTGGAAAAGTGGCTCTGCTGTGCAAATAGTGCTTGGAAGGTCCTGGGTTTTTTGGAGAGTATGTGTGTGAATTGGCACATAGGGTTTCTGCACCTGAACAAATAGGGAGGGGGAGAAAAGGGGGGGAAGAAGCTGGGAAAAAAATGGAAGTGTCCTCTCTTCCAAGAGTGTCTGCATTTATTACATGAATCAGAATGACAATGCTGATCCTTTATTGGATTTTAATTAGAGAACCCAAACAAGCACTGCTCAAAGAAGCAGATTTTCACACCTCTGCCAATTCACTGGCATGTTTGTAGAGCTGCTACACTACTAGATCTATTCATCAAGTCCCTGAATATGCAAACAAAGCTCTAGCCAGACCTTTACCGCCGGCTTGTAGGAAGGTGTAGTTTGCTAGCGGAGGGCTCCACATAAAGCACATAGCTTGTTTGTTGCCATGTCCTCCCTGAAGAGGCCTTGGAGATCTTGCTGCTTCATTTCTGAAGGAGAAGTGATAAAGTCATTAGCAAATCAATAACGGACTAATTTTCACCCTTCCTGTCCTTCGTGAGAAAGTCATTAGGAGACATTCCAAGGATTTATTTAAATCATAAGAGCTTCAGTACCAGCCACAGAGGCAAAATATAAAATCTGCCTGCCTTTAGGAGATAAATCACGAGGACTCTGAACTAGCATAGGGAGTAACTAAGAAAAACCAGGGGAAGGCAAGGGAGGGATGAGGAATGTCAACAGCTGTAGCAAAGACACTTGCTACCGTGACATACCGTGGGCTACTACCCAATATGTAGAAAATCAGAGCTTTTAGGGACACTGCAGAGTCCCTTGGTTAAGTCAAAGACCAGCCTGGAACAGGGCAGAGGTCCTCTCCCACCACCCCGCACGTGGCTGAGCTTCCAGAAAGGGATTTGCAAGAAAGACTTAAAGTCTCATTGCTATTTCTGCTTTCTTTAAACCTGCGGTTGTTCCTCTCAGTAGCACTGGAAAGCAGCAGCAGCTGGCGACAGCATTTAGTATCTAAACTCTGAGTAACTCCAAGAGCTGGAGGAGGTGAAGGCGGGATGTGCTTGGGTCTGGCACAGGCGTGGGGCTGCATGGGGACCACACACCCTGGGACAGGGAACAGCATCCTCCTTCCAGTGGGGTGGGAGAGGCGAGGGAGATGCTTTTTTTCAGAAAGAGGAGTGAACTGGAGTGCTGGAAGTGCCAGGCAGTGGTGTTACGGAGGGTGA